AACGTGTTCTGCGCCAATCTGCAAAGAAAGACAATATACCTTGGTCAGTGAAGCACCGCAATGTCAGTTTAGAATATAGTGAGCTAATATTACGACAAAACGAAAGCAAAATTTTCGATACATACTTCTGAAATGTTCCACCATAAGACTAGATTCCACCCTAAGACTAGAAGCGAGCAGATGGGGAGCACGAGTTTTTTAACTCTCCGAAGAATTAACATTTTGATTTTCTAGTGCCGTAGTTTGGTTTCGTGTTCATCATTAAAGCTCTTAAAGTTTTGAACTTGGTTGTCACCCTTATACAGTCCAAGGTCCTGTCAAGTCTCCCGAAGTCACAAGCTAAAATAGACTGCTGCTGTTAGAGTATAGAATGGTATAAAGCGTAATAGTATGTCTTTATATACAACCTCCACTTTTGGTATTATACTCCAGGTGTTTGTGCTAGTGTTCAGCCGCTTGGGTTGGCCAGATTCCGGGAGCATTGAACTAGTTCCAATTAATTTGTTCAGTAAAACTCTATCTATGAGCGGATCAATTTTATGAACATTGGTGCAGTTTAAAAAAAAATTGGCTTGACACACTTTTTCGACCCGTCTATGTATTTATTTCAATTTATATCGCCCAAAAAGAAACCCTCATTTTAGATTAACAGCCTCAGGCCCTCAGCCAAACAGCCCAACACTCAGGAGTCACAGCGCCTTTTTTATTATTATTATTACAAAATATTTTATTATTTATAATTAGATATTTGTTTATTATTAATATTATTTTTAAATACGAGAATATGGTCAGGAATACTTATTCTTAGATAAACCTGGGTTTATTAGGGTTTATTTTTACCTAAATAACTAGTTTAGTAAGAGTAACTAGTCCAGTTAAATTAACTAGACTAGGTATGATAGCAAGTTTAAAGTAACTTGCCAGATTATAGGAAAGGATATACGTGTTCTTGGTAGTATATCTGAGAAATGCTATAATAGATAATCTTTGTTGAGTTTAGTATCTATTTATAGATGTTCGTGATGTGGTCAGCAATACTTATTCTTAGATAAGCCTGGGTTTATTGGGGTTTATTCGGGACATTAAGTAAACCCAGGTTTTAGGGTTTTAGGGTTGATCAGATTTCTGATTGAAACCCGTTCTACTTCTCTGGTACAACGTACTTGCGAGTTCATGTGCATTTACCAGGTAGTGAACACATTGGTATAAGGTAGATAGGAAATATTCAATAAATAGCCAATGCCGGCAAGGTATCTTCCTCCTCAGAGAATTGACCTTCCGACCCAGGTGATTCGTACCCGAGTCCATGGTGCTGTTTTGAACGGCCTTGGATACAAAACGTGGGATTGTCCTCCTTACCTTGTGCCCTATGCCCCCGTTTGTGTGGGCTAGTCGACGCTTCGGTCGCGGACAACAATGTCGTGGGTCGTTCTGAAGATGTACGCTGCAACCTTTGCTCGTACTTCTCTAAGAGCGACTGTTGTCGTACCATGAGCTCGGTTAGTTTCTGTGTCGAAGACTGGCCCCGCACCGTGCCCTTGTTTGTGGAACGACGGCGGTGACGCCTGCGCTTATTAGGTGGTAGGCGTGGTTGCCCTTTACCGGAAGATGAGACTCCAGAGATACCCGAAGACGAACGGGAAGGCAGCCCATCACTAGCTACATGCTCACCAGTAATGTACTGCTCCCTGTTCACGCGCAGGTCGGGATCTCCCTTGGCCTCGCCGTTGATTACAACGTCTTCCTGCGATGGGCTGATATCACCCCTGTGTGTTTTGGATGCCTGTCTACCGGTAGCCACTGCTTGGTAATGAACCTTTACTGGTGCATCCTGTGGCTCCATTCGCCCTTTCTCAGCTCGTTGGTCGGTATAGTCCGTGACAGACTGGCGGCGCTTAGTTCCTCGACGGTCTATGTCGTCCTCCTCCCGACGTTCAAGGGTATGATGTTTCTGCCGACGGGTTTGACGTAGGTTGGACAAACTAGTACGTTGTGTAGATCAGTGGAGGTTTGGAAATGTGTGTAGACGTCCTCGAAATAAGTATGGTATAAATACTTCTCCGCCCTAGAGATCGTCTCTCATCTCAACAAATCTCGACACTGTTTGCCCGGAAATGTTTATCTCGTGCCCTACACTGCGTTCCCTTTCCGAGTGGTAGTTGGTTCGTGAGTCCTGCTCATTCCTTCAGCAGATTATGGTGTCGTGTATTCTTCGACGCAACACTCGTCGGGGTACACCCTGCACTCCTCGTGTGCTACTCCAACCTCCTGGTGGAGTCACACCCTTCTTCAGCGACCTACTTTTGCTCCTTAGAGAGCTCCTAAGCTCTCGCCTTACTCCCCTTTCTGGTATGTTTAACCAGCCTTTGCTTGCAAAACCTAGAGAGTAAACAGATTCCTCCCATCAAAGGTGCGCTAGAGAAATCACCTCCTTTCCTGTTTTCATTAGGTGACATCGCGCCCGTTGGTCTAGTTGCAGATTACGAATGGCACCATGATATCACACACATTTCCTGATTTGTATTCTTTCTAGCACTGCATTCAGTGTCTGTCATTGAAAATTACTGAGAATTATGTAGATGTCTTAATGGAATTTGTACAGGTTTGATAGGCCAGATGCCGGGATCTTCAAACACAAAGCACGCGGCGAAGAGATTCAGTACAAATCGGTTCTTGGGTCAGAGGAGATATTACAAGAACTAGGTTGCGTATCCATAATTTATATGAAGTATTTCAAATCAAGATTGACTAACATGAAGGCTAAATTGACTTACAATGTGGACTGTGTCGTAGACTAGCAGATAATATATGATCTCATTTATTGTCTTGAATCCTTTCTGAACATTTTTTCCAAATGTATGGCTCGACATAGGTACGTAAACAGGAGGGCAGTTTACAATCGGCTCCTCATGCCGCCAGCCACTACGATGTTCTCTCCTGTCACATACGAAGCATCTTCGGAGGCAAGATAGGCCACTGAAATTCCATTTAGTATAGAAAAAGTACAAAAACGCGAAAGTTATAGTGAGAACGATAAAGTATTTGAAGTTGAATATTATGAACCAGTTGTGCAGTGTTCGCAGGCAGGAGTGACAAGCGTATCGAAGACCATAAATACTATCTCTTCTCGAATCACATGATGATGTAAGTCTCAGAACAAATAGCATTCATGACACGAATGGTAATGCCACATGCGCAGAGTTTAGCATAAATTAAGATGTAACTTGAGAACAATTTATGAAACGATTAGTTTCTAGAATTCGTTGCGATGCACTGCGTACACGCTTCGCAGTAATATCGATCCGATACATACAAAGACGCATATCAAATGCCAGCAAGAGGAGCACACAACATTGTGCCCCTTGTATGTATAGTTACACTTTGGCCATATCTAATAATGAACAAATTATAGACAGTGGAGCGCAATCAGCTTGCCTGTATATATACATGCATGGGGTGCATGTGAATAATTTGACATTGGTGAGTACGACAATACACTTACCAGTGCCGGCGATCTGGTCGGGCACAGCCACCTTGCCCAAAGGAAGAGACTTCAGGAACATATTCATCATCTTGTCGTTGCTGGTCAGTGCATCACTGAGGATGATCGTACAATCACTGAATTAGTTTGCTTTATTCAGAATTTTGCGAACAGTCGGAAATACCTTGTATATGCTGTGATCTAAGATACATACTAGCCCGTGAGCGCGAAACGTAAGACTTCGAATGCAATTTAGACGGATTCATGTTGACTTTGCATTTTCATTTGATGTTATAGCTCATACTCACCTGAAACCGGTGCGTACGATTCCTGGAGCGACTCCGTTCACCCTGATGCCGTCCTGTCCTAATTCCTGCGTTCGTATTAGGCGGGTATGTTTCAGAGGAATGGGCGTTTAGGGGTTTGGTCCACCTGTAGCCCCTCGTACTCTAAAGACGTTGCCGCTCAATAGAAGCTGCGTTCTTGCTTTGCAACAATCGGTTCAGATTGATTAACTACATGCAAACCCAGAAATAACGTATGAGACACGTACCTTTGCAAGATGCTGAACGAGACCGTGAAGTGCAGTTTTACTGGCACTGTACGCCCCTAGACCTTGTAGTGATTCGTATCCTGCAATCTGCAGATTACAATTCTTGGTATGAGAATTCCAGAAACTACCTACTGCTCTGTATTGCCTTTTCATAGCGAGGGCCATATGTACATCTTCAATAGGGCATCCAAATATGTGTGTTGATACAAAATGAAAATACACTCAGATGCGCGATCGTGTAAGTATTGGTGTGCATTTGGCAGCTGTATCCGGGTTCCGATGAGTGAAGCAAGCATCATGAAATTGGTATACGCATATATTATTCCATATGTAGATACATGATGTGTTTGTCTGAGCGGGACATTTGCATGATAATGTTTCTCAGGTAGAACATGCACACATGTGTACCACGTAAGCATAGAGCTTCAATAGATTTCATGCCCGATGGAATATTCCAGATTGCTGGAGGGTTGATCTAGGTTAGAGTGAGCTTTGACATGCGTCTGTCTACGCGCATGTGTACCATACAAATACTGCATGTGTAGTCGATATTCTGACACTGGCAGTCCCAGCGTGTTGGATGTAGGGAGACATACGATTTCTCTGAATTCGTATGTGTTTAACTAACAACACATTAATATAACTTAAGACCCGGAGACCCACTTACAGAGGAGATGATGGTGACCGATGAATTGCCAGTGCTCTTGAGATACGGGTACGCGAGTTGTGTCATGAGGAATGTGGCCTTAACATTGTTGTCGAAGATCTTGTCCCACGCACTCTCGGGCGTCTCGATCATTGGTCCGTAGTGCGGGTTGGTGCCCACATTGTTTACGAGGATATCGAGCGATCCTGTTGAATGGCAAGTGGGATGTAGATCATCAGACAGATGCACTGGCGGAAGCCACATAGATGTACTATATACGATCATGTCAGCGACTACGTCTCACGCGTACTCGAATCTCGAGGGCGTACTGTCGGTGTGGAGTATGACTCACATTAAATACAGCTAGCAATCTAACAAACAATGCACGAGCGCCACAGCTATCTCCGTGCATGAGTTGGCAGGCACCAGTGAACTGTTGCGTTGTGTGTTCTCGTACAAAATGAAGCTGCAAGTAAGGTATGTTCAGGCGTACGAGACAAAACTACAAACACACACGAGCAGATATTGTTGCACAATATTACTCGTCATAAGGAATACAGTAACAATTCAATATTTACAGCAATCAGGAATGAGACCTGAGTATATGCACATACCGCATTGGAATTGGTGTATGAGAAAAGTCTGCAACCAAACGCACCTTCTATGATAAACTCCGTGGAAACCAATTCTGGTGGTTTGTCACCATCGATTGCAATTAAACCGCTTTCATAATACTACTGTAGTACACAATAACTACATCAGTGATCTCATCTCACTCGGATATAGCCGCATATAGCAATGCTAAAACT